AATCTCAATTGAAAAATTTTCAGGAGTAGCCTAGACTAAATTCAAAAACTTGAATTTACAACAAGGATAAGCTCGATTTAAAGTTTTTAAATAGTTTTAGCAGAAATCAACCTGCTCCAGGTCGAAAGAGAAATTAGCAAGATACAGTTTATCCATCATCAGATTTTATCATTTTTTGTAACAGAAAGAGCTCAATCTTAAAACTAAGATAGAGACTTCTATGTTGTGAAAAATTTTAGGTCAAAAATCTGATGAAAAGTTCTACTTTTTCGTTTTATTTCTGTTGGTTGTCTACCGAGCAAACAAGTTCTGTCAAAATAAATTTTCTAAAAATGATGATTACAGAAAGTTTGTTTTACTGCCTACAAAACAGAAAGCTTTGGGTATACATATTACAAAAAGTTTGTTTTAGACAAACCAGTTTATCACAGGAGAAGGAAAAAAAGTTTAAGAAAACCTAATCAAAATCATATCCAGAGATAAACATCAGACAAGTCTTTTTGCAATAATTTTTTTTAGTTATTCGAGGAACTCAACAATTTTCTGAAAAAAAAAAAAAAAATTGACAAACGTTTTGTGTCTATTCAAAATTGGGCTGATGTGTCACAGCAGCTTGAGAGTTATAAATTACTTGATTGTTTGTCTCTGTTTAAAAAAGTGAATGTTAGAATTTTTTTCGTAAAAAAACTTAATCTCAATTTTATCAAATTTTCATAATTTTTGGTGTGCAAAAAATTATGCAACTAACCAATGATAAAAAATAGCAAAAAATTTTTTTCCATCATGAAATAGGTCCGAAAACTAGATATTTAAAAATATTAAGATGTACAAAAATTATACACGCCATATAATATGTTTTGTCAATCCTGCAGCTTCTTAGTCCATTTTAGATAAACCGAAATTTTTAAAATTTTGGAGGTTTTAAAATTTCGCTCATACTGGGGCTGTATTTTTCCAGGCATCTTAATTAAATGTTTTTCCAAATGAGTGGCAGTGTTTGCAGATAAATTGACCAATTTGAAATTTTTTCTTTTCGTTTCTTTTCCATAACCAATATAAATTACAAATGGACTTACTTTGCTTTTGCAACACACCCTTCAACATATTCCGTTCGCTCCTCATAAATCGGCACAAAAACAAAATTAAAAATTTTAAGCCAATTCTAGGTTTGCTCGACTTCTAATTCTAATATCGAAACTATCCTTAATCTGATTAAAACCTAGTTCCTATTTTTCAGTCCAGTAATATCATAGAAATACTGATTTGAGATGTAAGGTATTTATCTGACCGCTTTTTTTGGCAGACCGAGCGTCTGGCATGTTTAAAAACTAACAAATCACAACGCTGATTTCAAATTCGGCAAATAGCAACAGATTGCGCTGCATTGCTTACACTTGCACGTGTGCTTTTGTGCGCGCAAATCAGTATATCAGCAACTTGGTGAAAATTTAAATTACTCTGTTTTTGAAAATTCTATGATCTTTGATTTATGATCTTATTATAAACTTACAAAAAAAGCAAAACGCTCGTATCAGGGTTACGTTCCAATTTTTGGCTGCCCTTTAACGTCCTCATCAAAAAATGAACAAACAAAAAAAATTCACGCGAAATACCGCATTGTTTCAAGTAATAATCAACATTCTAAAAATTGGTTGAGCGACAAACCAAAGCAGTCGGCAATTCATAAAAGTACAAAACTCGTTGTTTCATTAAAAGCGAAAACTCGTACAAAACTACTATTAGTGTCATAATTTTTTTTTGATGTGGAACAATTGAAAGAAACAAGCAAAGCCCTGAATAATCCGACTGCCATTTAATTGGTGTGGCATAGTTTTCGGTAAAATAAATTTTGGCCAAACGATGAACTTTATGATGATCATATTTAAAATTAAGTGTTACAATGCTAGTCATGTATGGAATTAATAAACCCAAAATACACCCAATCAGCTGCCTCAATTCAATTTGAAAAGATTCCGTGGTTCGGGATAATTCGCCACGCGTGTTAATTTTAAAGCGAGCAGTTTAGACAGACTGGGGGCAGGTTACTATAGTAGCCGGCTTGGTACTTGCAGATAATGAAATCGATATCCCTACTTACCGTTTTTGTAAGGTTTGGAACCAACCTATCCTTTTAAAATACTCCACATATGGAAAAATTGGAAAATATTTGGCCAATTGATCATTCGAGCTGCAAATCATATTGGGGCATAAGTGCCAAAGTAATGAATGATTTTATTGAGAGTCGGAGTTACTTGTCTGATATATAAAGGGGACTAAACCGAGCGCTTGAGTTTTTTGCTATACAGCTTGCGCAAAATGGTAAAAACGGGTTAGTTAAGTCGGATAGTTAATTCTGTCTGTCCGAATTTTTTGCAATTCTCTATACGTTGGATCCCAATTCAATTCAAACTAACCGCGTGACTTTTGTTAGAAGCTTACCCGGTTCGAGGCACGCGACTTTTTTTAAAACTCCAATAATTTCAGGAGAGTTCAGAAATCGAAGCCGTTTTGGGGGAAGGGAGGAGGATGTTAACTTGATTAACTTGGCACCACGTAAACTTGGCACCATGTAATGTAAAAGTCAGTCAAATAAAGAATAAGTAGGCCAAAGTGACATCGGGCTATTGTGTTTTGGTCATGTTTAATCTCGATTTCGTTCATAACAAAGACTGCAAATACAAAAATTTGCTTGGTTTTATTTTATGTATTTATCATAAAATATTAAAATTGTTTTATGATAATTTTGACATTTCCAGCTTCTTGAAAACACAGTAAAATATCTAATTTAGAAATGCTCACATGCTTTCCATTTTTTCATCAACTTCAAATGCACTTCCAAGCAAACTTCAAAACGGAATCGGGACGCAGTAAAAACGGCGGTTCTTTATTTCTAGGCGAGTACCCTAACCGTTTCGAAATTTATTCTAGTCCGCTTTAAACTATGATCCTCAAATTGTTCAGAATGAGAGGAAAATTTCCGGTTTTAAGAATTGGAATGAAGCTGTAGAATCAAGTAGGTTCGTAAGCCCAAAACATCAAAATATAGCATCAAGTTTGAAAATTAAGTTAACACAGATCTGTATCTGCGTATCTCAAAAAATTAATTCACTCAAAATAACTTCAGTGGTAAATTGTTATTTTAGGTGGCCTTGCAGGCGGGAATCTAAGATTTTCTCAAGAGTAAGTGCGTTTTTTCCAAACAATTTTAGGAGGTCGATCAAATTAATTTTCTGAGCTCTCCTAAACCAAGACGCTATTGCTATTATGGCCCTATTTTGAATTTTTTTAGCGTCGCAGGCAAATTTAAGAAAAAACAGGCCAGTAACTACAATTTTAGGCACTTTTTGGAAGGTTATAACCAAAACAATTGTGCTTTTACTGCGAGCGCTACCCATTCAAAATGTGTTTTTATTCGCACCAAAAGTAACTTGGAAAAACTTTAGGGTCGATCAGCTTAATTTGCAGTTTGCTCAATAGTACCATAGAAGGGAGAAATTTTGAGTGGTGGGGGTCAAATCTATGAAAATGAGTGCCAACCCCCCGCACAACCCCGTCGAATAAACACGCTACTGCTGCAACGTCTCTGAAAGTGACTGTCGTCCTAAAAAAGACTTCCACCAAAGTTACAGAACTGTATTCATTTCTAATTTTGATACCCTAAGAAATAAGGATGGGTTTTTAAAAATAGGTTAATTTGGATTAAAACAACATAACTGTCTTTTTATTAGAACTGACGAGCAACTTCGAAGCCATTATAGCAGCACAGTCAGTGCTCCAATTCCGAACTGTGAACCCATACATCACGGAGATACAAATTGAAACGAGCGAGTACTCGTTCCTCACCAACGAGCCCGCCTTCCCCAATTTGAGAGTGTTCAATCTAGTCAGCTCAACCTACCGCGGGTTCCCCAAGAACAACATAACCGAACTAAGAATTAAACAGAGCGGAAACTTGCAGGGTAAGCTGGACTAATTAACAGGGGTATTCTCATGACGAAGGTATTCTCAGTATAAATGATGCTATTCTAAGGATCAACCAATCACGTTCATATTGGCTCAAAAACATTTGCACAAAACCGAAATCTTTTTTAACAAAAATTGAATTATAGCAGCACAGCAAAACTTTTTCTGCATTTCCTGCAGATAAAAATTAAATTTTTTATGATTTTTCTTGTTCTTAAAAAAGTCGGTATACTTCAAGTAATCAATTTTTCTATGCGTTTTTGATCTCGCAATCTTTGAAAGTTCATGTTTCTGCTTATCTTTTGATCGGTCAATATTAGTTGCCCTGGATTCATTTTCTTGCTCTGAGACATTCGCAATTTTTTTAGAGATTTTTCTGATATTATTTTCTGAATGGCTGAAAATAACTTTCCAATGCTCTGTATCTTCATCCTTCATCATAGTGGACACCAACGAGGTAAAGAAAGTGTAAAAAATTTATGTTTTTTCCTAAACATACTTGAAATACCGAGTTAAATACAAGTCTATAGATTTTATGTTTTTTTTCTAAACTATCGCTACATGAAATGCAACTAGAAGAACATTGGAGGGAACAAATTAACATCTCCCTCCCCCCTCAAAGCCGTTTGGGGGGAGGATGTTAACTTGGTTCTAAGTTAGAAATTTCCAGCCATTTACAATCGAGCATTTTACATGCAGCGCTTACCAAAATTAGGCTTATCTTATATATTAAATGAAAGTCGGAATGCGCTATGGGCGCATTGTTTATATGAACAGAATGCTTAAGAAACATTTTGAGTCAATGTTTAAAAGGCTCTCGAGCGTAACGTTTAATAAGCATTCATAGCAACCAACAGAAGAAGATGAACTCGATCCAACTTCAAGGCTAGACAGTACCAGCCTAGATTTTGTCCAACATTTCCTTTCAGTTCTGTCTTGAACTGGGGCTGTCAACCTTTCAGTCTGGAGCGAATCAGTTACAAACAGCCACTTCCATGTTGTGAAAAAAAATTTGCAAACCGATTCGGTCTATGAAATTAAAACTGAAAATTAAAAACTTTAAGCCAATTCTAGGTTTGCTCGACTTCTAATTCTAATATCGACACCATCCTTAATCTGATTAAAACCTAGTTCCTATTTTTCAGTCAAGAATTATCATAGAAATACTGATTTGAGATGTAAGGTATTTATCA